TGGCTGGCTGGGGAATTCTGGGAGTTGCAGTCCACATATCTTAAAGTTGCTAAGGTTGAGAAACACTTGGTTAAGGTATACAGGGGGTGAGCAGCTATGGCTAAGATCTGGCCTAGAAAAGAAGAAAGTTCCCCTATCTCTGTTTAATAAGGCAACTTTAAATGATATTTAAATGAAGTGGACGTTCTTTAACTTTCCGGAATGCAGTACATTTTTTTTTAAACTTACAGGGTCTTCTCAAAGTTTCTTATGTTAGGTCTTTTATACTTATGAATATTACTAGTATAAATTTAGTATAAATTATATAGACATTTAGTATAAACCCAGTATTCAACATTCCTTCCTCCCAGCCCCCAGTTCTCATATATACAATATATTACACAGCATGGCAAATATAAACACTTCCAGTATGGCTTCTAAGGGGGGGGGCTAAATGCTTATAAGCACCACAAATTGGTAGAGGCACAAAAAAGGGGGAAGTTAGAAACGAAATAACTTTTTTTTTACTTTTTCTTTTTGTTTGTTGTTTCTTTTTTAATATGCATTAATAATAAATAACAACGTTGTAGAGACCTTAGTATTAAGTATTACTAAGATGCCTTTATTATATAACAAATCATTTAGTGTTCTTTGCAGTTGTTTACTAATGCCACATGTAGCTTTAGATGTAAAATGTAAACATCTTTATGCTTATTAACATTAACATTTGAGAAACCATAGTTAATATTGATATAAACTTCTTTTTCTACCTTGAAAGGTTTAAGTTAGCTAAACCTTAGAGTGTAAATCATCTCCAGTCAACACTGTATAAATACCACTGTACCCAAATAGTACAATGTACTACTTGTGTTTTATAATAATACAGTAGAACAATATTTTAAAAAATAAGAAAAAAAAGGTTCTCCCCCCCGCCCCCGCAAAAAAACCCCATCAGTCCCCAGTATTTTAGCAGCAATCAGTGTAGGGCTTACACATTTCTTTTCTTTATTAGGTAACAGGCAGGGTCAGCTAGGTCCTGCCAGCTGATACTACAGTTGGTAGCCTTGACTGTTCCACTTACAGTCCTAGCCAGGCCTATCCAATCTGGAGTTTGCCTCAACTTGTCTACCCCTGAAACAAAATGCCTTAGAGAGCTTGTGCTCTTTTTCTAAGTTGGGTGGCCATAGACGTTGACTTAACAAACAAACAAATGTGGTATGTGATGCCACATCAGCCTTTTCCAACATTGTGCCTTTTGGAAGTGTCGTTCCTCAATTCCCATAAACTCCACCAGTTTTTTTGCTCCTAAACCCATGCAATTCCTCAGACATTGATGGGGTGTCCATAGGAAGCCAAAAAAGTCAAGATGGTTGCCTCAACCATGCAATGAAATCACATTACATCACGATGCATGTAAAAAAGCATGGGGCTTTGATTGCATAGTTGTGGCTGCCATCTTGACTTTATTGACGCCCCCCCCCATGGACACCCCAGAGCAGATGCCTTGTCCTATTGTCATTCTGGAGACAATAG